ATCATCAGTCAATTGCAAAAGGCAGCTTTACTTGGAACAGCTTATGTCCTGCGATGATACCTTTAACACCATCAAACAACAACATCTTGGGAAAGACTTGATAGGTGGATAAAAATGCCAAATCCAGTCTAAACATCTGCCTGACTGTGCGACCAACTGTAATAATTTATTAAGTTTATATGCCACCCAGCTCCCAGCAACTCTGGGCGACTTACAATCATTAAAACATTGAAAAACAAAGAACAGTAAAGGGGGAAAAAAGCACACACAAAAACAACACAAGACGCAAGAACAACGATGGCAAAGAAAAGAAACCCAGAGGGGAACAATATAGCATAGGAAAGAGAATAATCCAAGTTAGCATTTTCCCTGACACTATTTTGAATATGAGTTTCCATGTGGAGGGGAGGGTGAAGAATTCCACAAAAGGACCTGCAGAAATAGTATAATTCAAGCAACCCTTTTCCACCTGATTTTGCAGTGTTTTCGTTGGACTTCAGAATCGAGAGGGAAAAAAATAGCATGTTAATTCACTTGCCCTGGAACTTCTTTTTTTCTGTTTCATGGCTCTGTCTCCTTCCACCCCAGGTTAAAATCCTCAGCCCCAATAATTCTGGATCTCTTCTGTTATACAAGGCACAAATAAGAACGCATGGACATTTGCAGAGAGTCTGTATGCAGACAAAAGCTAAAATGTTCTTTATTGTAGAGTGCCAATTCCAGCCCAATTCCAGATTACACAGGCAAAATTAGAACTGTGATATCAGAAGCTTGCAAGTTAAGGCAATGGGAGAATCAAAGGAAGGATCACCTATAATAAGAGATTATCTCTGGATAACTCCCTTATCTAGAAGGTGCAAAGATTTCCATAGGTAACCTACCTATAGTTACAGTATAGTTGGCCATTCAGGGACTGTAGTTGGAACATTCTGGGGTCTACCAGGTTGAGGAAATGGATTAGATAAATTCAAGGACAGTAGCTCAGTCATTGCCATTAATTTAGCCTACCTTTTGATGAAAAGGGATTCAGAGCAATTGAAAAGCAACAGTGATTTCTTTCAGCTCGCCCACTTTCAGAAAGTAACTGCCTCCTAGGGTTGCCCAGTGTAGGTCCTGAAGTTCTCTGAGTGTGACTGAAGGTTTGTTTTGTCCATCCTATTTTCTCAAAACAACCAGCCAGGTGCCAGAGGATGTTGAAGGGGGCACCTCTTTCCCAGCAGTTGGTGATTTAGAGGTAGAGTGCCTCTGGAGCTGGGGGTTGATCTGTTTTCTGCAACTGTGGGGCCCAGACAAGCTACGGTAGAGTTCTTGTAACAT